GTGCCGGTTATGTTTTGATGGTGTCCGGGTCATGTGACGGTGTCCCGGTCATGTTGTGATGGTGTCCTGGTCATCTTGTGATGGTTTTCCCGGTCATGTTTTGATGGTGTCCCGGTCACCTTGTGATGGTGTCCCGGTCATGTTGTGATTGTGTCCCAGTCATGTTGTGACGGTGTCCCAGTCATGTTGTGATGGTGTCTCGCTCATGTTGTGACGGTGTCCCGGTCATGTTTTGATGGTGTCCCGGTCGCCTTGTGATGGTGTCCCGGTTATGTTGTGATGGTGTCTCGCTCATGTTGTGACGGTGTCTCGGTCATGTTTTGATGGTGCCCTGGTCATTTTGTGATGGTGTCCCGGTTATGTGATGATGGTGTGCAAGGAAGAGATGGTCGATGTGTTGAAAACAGCAGCTGTTTCCAGATTTTTCTTTTTGTCCCGGTTTGTATCTTGCTATTGGGGTCTCATTTTCTATTGTTTTCTATTGTTTTGTTTGATAACACATTCTTCAGAATGATTTCATCGACTCCCCTTTTGTTTGGTCTCGACTCCAACCTGACCGGCCCCCATGGACCGGCCGGTATCGCAGCTTCTCAGGTTCGAGATGACGTTTGACGCTGGGTGTTGCACTGACCAGTTGTTGGTTTGGTGTGGTTCATTTGGCATATACATGTACAGTAATTATCTGTAATTTGTTTGATTTGTTTGTTTAGTGATAGTTGGTTTGCTTTGTTTGTTTTGCTTGTTTGCTTGCTTGCTTGCCTTTTTTTTGGGGGGGTTGTCACAGCAAGCTACACAGATGTCGCACAAGAAACAGCTTAGTGCCACGTGCTCTCTTAGCGTTGCGGCACAAAATTCACAACATTCCATGTAGAGCACATTTCCCACAACCTCGGTATCATCATGATCTAGACGCGTATAGATGCACTTTCGCGAAGAACTGTGGAAGTAGAGATAGCTAGAAGGGACGTGCAAATGTTCAGCAGCCCCACCAGCACCATGATGGAAGAACTCCAAAAGTGGCAGTCTGGTTTCAGCCCGGAGAATTCCCCCATCGCCATTCGAGGCTGGCAATTGGCCCGTGTACGCCCGACCTGCCACGTGGTGCAAGAACGGAGAGAGCGAAAAGACCCGGTGAAACATGTCAATGTCTGCGTAGCACCTGCAGCTCAGGTTCTGGAGTACGTGGGGCACGGCTTTGTGATCTTTTACCTCTTGTACATCACCTTCGCAGCTTGATTCAGACAAGTGGTTGGGGCTAACAGTCCAACATCGGCGCGAACACATCAGCCCAACAGTTGTTGGCACAACAACCCTTTGGGCATTAGGCCATTCCCTCCTTCCTTACGGTGTAGCCCCACCCGACCTACGCCGACCTTCACGGTGGCAGTGCGCTCGGCGGTTTCGGCGGTTCGGACGTCCCTCAGGTGGTCTTCGCAGTGCCTCGGCGGTTTCGGCGGAGGTGAGGAAGTGTGTGCAGTCGAAAGGCCGCTGAAGAGCGTTTTGGGGGGCCCAATTGCATCCTCAAACTTATGAGGTTGTTTTGGTACCTCTTCTTCTTGGTGGTGTTTTGTTTGTTTCATTTTTTTTCAGTTGGGCTACCTCCAACTCTCACCACCGTAACACGCCGTATACCCCCCCGCGAGTTCCGGTGTTCGGAACCCGTCCTCGTCGGTTCGGGGCCTGGGTTCCCCGGTCGGGCCGAGAGTCGAGCCGAAGATGGACCCGTCTGGTTTCATGGAGACATGTGATCTCTCTCTATACACCTAGAACCTGAGTGACCTCTATTTTGGGACCACCAACCACTCAACATACTTTTTTTTTTTTTTAAATCTTCTCCTCCTATCAAAACAGAGGTCAAATGGGTTCAACGTGCGAACCTCGCAACCGCGCAGGTCTCGTGGTCTCCTTTTTTGGGTTTCTTCTCCATCCGTTCTCGTCCGTGCTCGCGCCGAGCCCCAGGTCACCGGTTGGACACCGCGCCGCGTTTTCACCATCATGGCCCAGTCCATCGACCGAGGTGATCCGTGTCATCAGCGCCATCTTCTTACGCGAAACCTTAGAGGCAGCCAACAACGATGCAGAGATGTTGGTGCAGGAGCAGCTTCGGAAGAGGATAGCCACAGAAGCCCCGCCAATACATTTGGTGGCGTGCCTGGATTCAACCAATTGCGGCCTCCGAAACCCGAATGGGAAAGGACAAAGGGTTACAACCTCTAAAACCTGTCAGAACCTGTTAGTTTTTGTATGGCTAATGCCATCCAATGCCCACATATGGCTTTGGTATTTTCGTTCTTGATGGTTCATATAAGTCCAGCCCCGATAGCCTTGCGCCACCGTGTCCTTTATTTTTTTGCATTGTCGGGGCTCATCATCCAGGTGGTGGTTTCAGATCTTTTGATTTTCAACTTGATGAACTGGGGATGATTGAACTGAGATGATTTTCAACTTTAAACTTGGTGTTTCTCAACCTTTACTTGGGATGATTGAACTTGATTGAGCACCCTGACTCATATATATATATATATATTTGAAGGAGTTGAACCCACCATCCAGTCATCGGATTGCTTTCTTGAGAAGGCTGCGGCTGCTGGCTTGGCTTTGTGCTTTTGGATGGCTGGGCCGTTTTTGGATTTGATGACCCTTGGTTTCTTGGCTTTTTGCTTCGGCCTGCAAAGGGCTTTTCTCCACTTAGACCTTGGCCTCTTGAGGTGGCCTCTTTCGAGAAGGAAACTTGAAAAAGCACACTATATATGCATACTGTGGGTTTGTCCTATTACCTGTAACAGTCAGCGCACAATCATCACTTTTTTTGAACAAGGCCTGCAACTGAACCATCATCATCCACTGTTGCCCAATGCATACTAGATCGATAACTTGTCAAGTAGAGGAATTGATCTGGAACGGCAGCCCAGCATTCAATCGCCACACCGTCCGGGTCCCACACCCCGGTCGCGATTTCGAACCGGCTGCGGAGACGTCTGCAGGACCGGCTGCACAAGAAGTCGACCTATGTTCGAAAGCTGGAAGGCCTGGATTCGCTCGTTCACAGAGGTGTGGTAGGACCGGCATCGAGATCACTCCAGATCACGTAGGCTGGGTCCGAAATCTTTCGAGGAATCTCTTTCGAGCGAATTCAGCCACCGCTCGCACCAGTTTTCTGACTGGTGCTTAAGGGAAGTTTCGCCCCCAATAGAGATTCTATTGGATCCATTCCCTCATTCCCTGCGAGTCGCACCAGTCAGTTTTTGTTCGGTGCTGGACCGGGTCAACTGGAGGACGTGAAATACTTGCGGAGACCCGGGACAGTGGTCGAATAAACATACCCAGACACTCCATGTATGCCATATATGCCGCCCCATTGACCCCCAAAACCACCCCAATGTAGGCATATATGGCATACATGGAGTGTCTGGGATATATGGTTGGTTTCCAAAATGTCTTTTCTCAAAATGGTGCACTCGTCGCAATTCCAAGGGGGCCCGCTTCTAAGTCTCCTTTAAACTTCAACCACACTCAAACCACAGGGATGCTAAACATGAAGGCGTGTGAACTGCAAAAACTGTGAGAGGTGTCTAGCGCGGACTGCTGAGATGCTGGAGCTGTTGCTGCTGCTGCTGCTGCTGCTGGACTCCTGCAGTTGTTTCCACTTTTTGTTCTCAGAACGACATAGTTAGGAAGGACGTAAGAGCTGACTCAAAAGATTTGGATGTTGGACGGGCAAATGGTCAAGAAATGGACCGTCGTCTAGCGCGGTGCTCGCGCGGATCTAGCGCCAGCCTAGCGCAAAAATCTCCGTCGATTTCTTTATCCTGTCAGATTCTTATTTTTCCTGCTTGCGTGTCTTCTTGTTGTGCATTCTTCTTCTTCTTCTTCTTCTTCTTGGCTTGTATTTTTTCTTGTCTTGCTTCTTCTGTTTCCTGCTCTCTGCTTGTTTCTTCTTTTTCCTGCTTGCTATCCTGTTATGAAGAAACCTAGCGCCAACCTAGCGCCAATCTAGCGCTGCCTTGCTGTATCACAATATTCTGCTGGGGGCCCGCTTCTAAACGAAGATTTAGGAACACATCTACAACCTTAAAAGTTTACGTTTTTTATCTATATTTTTTGAGTAGGGCTTTTTGAGCGCAGTCCATATAAACATATCACAGAACACGCAGAACGTCGTTGTGTCGCGGGTCAACGTGCATCCAATTCATCAGTCCACCGGAATTCCTGCTAGCTTGGAAGGCCACCGCAGCATCTCGGGCCGCCGGGGCCACGCCGGGGCCGGTCCGCCGGGGCCAGGCATTTTTGCCGCCTGCGACGAGAGTGGTGATGGGGTCCTTACGGAGAACGAGTTGACGCTCCATCCAAAGGGATGAATCGGTCGTGGCTGTGCGGGCCGACTGGTTGTGGGGGGGGGCGAGTTGGTCAAGCGCGTGGAGACCCCAAAGCTGTTCAGAGGATGTATTGAAAGCCAAGACCTGCGGGGGACAGTCAAATTACTGGGGACAGTCATCATTCCAATGTCGGCCCCGCATGCCACGGGTCAGCAAGGGATCTGGGATTTGTGTGCACGCGCCGCATGATGCCGCATGGCCATGAGTCGAAGACTGAGTCAGACTGAGGACTGAGTTGATGAGAGACCCACGCGTCCAAGTCTATCTCGAGAGCCTGGAGATTGATGTGCGAGCAGCTGGGCAAAGCAGTCACAGACTAAGCCTTACTAAGCCTTACTAAGCACTCATGATACTATAAGGACCGGAACCAGTCTAGTGCTGCCGGGTGCTGCAGGGGCAGCCTGGAAGTTTGAAGCTGGAACTAACCAGTGCATCCCACCAGCCCGCTTTGGAAGCACCGTGATTTGCTCGTCAGGAGAGCACTGCCCTGTTCCGTTTGCTGCAGAACAGTTTCTTGGATGCAGAACCATTTCCGAAGACAAGTCCTCCAAGTACGTCGTTTCGTCTTCGGGCACCAGCGCCCATGCTGATTATTTGTCATGGCCCGTGACATCAACTTGTTGAAGCTTAGACTCAGTCAATATGGGGTAGCCAGTTCTTCCCCATGAAGCAGAAAAAGCCGGTTGGAGCGACGGAGTTCCCAACAACTACTAGTAACTCAAGTATGCCACTCTATTTGACTGCTTTCAAGAGGGCTCCTGGTCTACAAAGCGTCACCTCCTTTTCCACCCCCCATCCCCATCCCTTGTTCAACTGTTGGGGACGAAATTCACTTGGGAACTCACCGGGGCGGTCCCATGTTCCACCGCGCCCGCCTTGTTCCCGACCCCTGCGCCGTGTCGACTTCTGCCCAGGCGAGGGAGTCATTTGCTGCGACGACTTCATCGATGGGATCCTGCGCTGTAAGGGCCCGGCGAGGGCCATCGATCAGCCACTCGGTGACGGGATCCTGCGCGAGCCCGATGTCGGGGCCACAAGGGAATGTCATGATTGGGTCTCCTCTTCACCCTGAGTGTTATAGATATATACACCCCCAGTCGACCATTTTTGAAACGGTCTTTAGATGATCCGAAAAGGAACTGCCTTTACTTGGGTGGTGCCTAGGGTTAAACAAATAATATATATATATATACATGCAATATAATATACATATACCATTTACACAACTGCATATGTACCTAGAGCCTAGAGCCTGAGTCATCCCCATTTTCGACCACCAAACGCCCTATCGTACCCCGCTGAAAACTAAAAAATGGACCCTGAAAACCACTCGATGAAGTACTGGTAGAGCAAAACAGTCAGACTGAGGGTGCCATTCGACCCGGGTCCAGGTTCGTTTTCGGGAGTGTATCTACTTGACATTACTTGACCGGATATGAGTTATGAGAGGATCGCCGAACTCCTCCGGTTTGTTTCAATGTGTGTGTGTATGTGTTGTTCCGGATTCTTTCCAGTTTTGACCATGTGATATGAAAAAACACGCGCTCGATTCACACAAATTTTCATCCGTGCTCTTTCGGGGCGTTGCTGGCCTTTTTGCCCACCAATGAAGAGTCTTTGTTGAGGATCTTGCTGGCGAATGATGTCAAGCAGGTCTCGGAGCAAGTGAAGCTGCTTGGCTTTGAGCGTCGTTAATGTTGGTAGGAGCTGATGAGGTGGATGGCAGAGTCTGACGAAGCAGAGTGGAGGTTGCCAACATTCTAGGCAGGCTCCAGAAAACAGAATATTTGCTCGAAGCGCTGCTGAAATAGACCACCGAAGGCAGAGAATCAATCCTGAGGAGCCACAATCAATCACCTAGCTTTAAACCATGATATTTTGGATGACCTACCAAGTTCAACCCCCCAAAGAGCCTTCTGGGCAAAACCTGATATAGACCCAAGATTTTGTAGGGTCTTGCAAACTGTTTTTATGAACCACACTGTGACAAATACGTGCGCGCGCGAGCTGCGTGGATCGTCACCCTTCACCTTGTTCTGGAATGCCGTGCCCAACAGCGTTTCACAGGGTTGCACAACGCCTGAGGAAGCTCACCGGGCTCTTGAATGACGCAGGTGTCATTACTGGCGGGGCCTTCACCAAAAAACACGTGAAGCGGAACCTGTCCGATGAGTTGGCGCTACTTGGGGTGAAGAGTTCGATCGCCTGGTCCGACCGGAAGAAGGATGAAGAAGGAAACTGGAAGAAAAAATGCTTGCAAATGGTTTCTACTACATGGCTCTTTCATGCTGTTCTGCCAAAAGAAGATGCACCTTGTTCTTGCTCAAGGCATGAAGCTCAGGAAGCTGGGTTCTTTCCATTTTCCAGGGGAACCCGACCGGACGACGGACCCACCCAGGTGGCCAAACACCACGTGGCCTCGGACGACCCCCCCAAACCGTCTCCAGAGCCGGTTGACGCCGAGCGCCGTCTTCGGCGGAGGACGTCCAAAAAGGGAAGGCTTTTGGATGGAGAAGATCGGAGAAGATGGACCAAAACTGTTCATCTTTGGTTTCAAGAAAGGGAGACCAAGCCCAGAGGCTCAGAAAGGACCCTCAGTTCGCTAGGGTTTTGACCCTCACAGCCAGGGTTTGGAACTCTAGCAGTTTGAGGGTCCAGGGCGCGCCTCTGGGAGGGAGAATTTAAGAGACATGTTTGGACCTGGGGGCCGCTCGTTCCCCCCCGGACGCTCGGTCCCATCAGGTTGCTTCCTTCGATGCATGCGACTCTGTCTGGGCGCTACATTCTGACTTGAGAGTTGCATGCAGCCAGGGCACCGATTGCTGGTGTCACGATTGAACCCACGGGCATGTGATGTATGGGATTTTTGCACAGGAGTTTTTCTTCTGACCTCACGGAAGGCCAAGCCGTCTCAGAGGGGATTTTGCGTGGGGAACCTGGTGCAAAGCCGACCCCCACTCCTCACTGCATCTCCCTTCTGGGCGCTGGCGCCGGTGTCACTTTTCCCTGGACAGCTTGGGGGACCCAAGCCTGTTCCACATTTCCAAAGACATCGCCATGGATCAGGGAATGCATTCTGCCCAGTGAAACTTCAGTTAGAAAGTTGTCATTTCTGTTTTGCCTGAAAGCCCTACAGGTCAATGACCTCATTGTACTGGAGTTGGTTATGCAAAAACACGACTACTACCTACTAGAGGGTCAAAGACCAGGTTTTACCCGGTCTTTGGACTTGTAGGGAAGGAGTCTTAACCTTATAATCATTGCTCCAAGGTGAGAGGGTGGCCTTCTGTCAAGGCCTTCTGTGGGATTCGAGTTGCATTCCCTCACCGTGGACGGGTCTAGACTTGACGTCGGGTCGACCTCCAAGGGGAAAATAGCTCCGCGGTGTGGGGGTCCTTCGAGCGGTTCCGCGGGAGTGCGCACATGTTACAAGTCGCCAGCACAGCGGGTGTGAAGATGGGGGTTCAAGATGGCTATGTTTTGAGCTCTCCCAAGCTATGGCGGCCAGGGTGTGTTTGGAATTCTGGAGGCACCTCAAAGCAAGAACACTCAAAGATCGGTTGGAGGGCCTAGGGATTTGCAAGAACACTCTGTCATGATGTCTTGTTTTCTTGGACCACGCGTTTGTTTCTTTTGGCTGGCTCGACATAACAGGGCACTTTGGCCCTACTGGCCTGACGCTATGTCGCCAGAATCGAACACACGAAAAGAACACGTGGTGCGCACATCATGAACACCTCTCAAGACATCTGAAGACCATCTCAGCTCTTTCCCCTTTTCTCCCTTTGCCAGCTTCCATGGCCACCGCCGATCCTTTCCCCCGCAAGATCCGCTTTCATCCGCTTTCATCCGCTTTCTCCGCCACGCCGCGGGGGGGAGCCTGGACCGGCATGGCGCAATCGCTGACGCACTCCGTGGCCTTGGGGAGCATGCCGCTCAGCGTCATGAGTGCAGGCCAGCACCGGTCGCTCGGTCGCTCCCCACGGAGACTCCGTCGGTGTTGGGCGTCCGGCGTCCGGGGTTTGCTTCGGCGTCGGGGTTCCGCGGGCCTGCGGTGGATGCAGGACATGAGGACTTGCTTCTCCTGGCGCGAGAGTTGCCGCCCGAAAGAAGCAGGGAGGGGTGGCGTTGGTGAAAATTGGGCCCCTTACTGGAATGAACTGGACGAAGATGGCTCCTGGCAGTGCTGGGCGAAGATGTACGCAGACAGTGGAACTGGATGTATGCATACACATATTATAAATATATAGAGGTGTAGGACAATCTCTGGAGGTTCTGCAGAGTCTCCCGAACTTTGAGTTCGGAATGGACGAGAAATTTCCCCAAACAGTCACCCAAACAAGACCACAATCATTGCACCTGGTACGCAGCCTCTTATACATAACATGCCGCTTTTTCCACCCTGACAGTTGTCCACAAGTGTGGCCGCTGTCCGTCCGTCCCCTGGGTCTATGGAGTGTGGATGATGGCTGTGGTGCAACAAGCACGGGTCTTTTTTGGGGGGTGGGTGGGGGGAGCCTCACCCCAAAAACGATCAAAGACACGTGTTCTTGGGTTTTCTTCTGGCCCAAGCCTCATCCATCCGGGGGAGCAGCGCAGAGCGCAACACCGATGCGCATGGGAAAGCACTCGAGACTCGAGGATGACGCTGTCGCTGCTGCACGAGACAGAGCTCCGACGGATCGTGGACAAGTACCCACTGGTCAACGAGTTGCAGCCACTTGGGTTGCGGGTCGGAGCAGGGCCCAAAGCAGTTCAGTTTGGGTTTTCCTCCAGACACCACAAGGACCTAAGGATCCCAAGGATGCAGGGTGTCACTGCTCACGACTTCCCAATTCCGCCTTTTTCCAGGGCCTCTCTTGTCTTGATAGTAATAACAATAGTAATTATTAATAGTTATATAATATATATATAGTTATATTTATATATAGTTATATATATATAATGGTTCAATAATGTATGATTTTTATATATGTGCACATTTTTTTGCATCATGGTATTTCAAAACAACAAATCAAATGCTGAGTTCAAGACCCGCTGAATTCGATGGGTTCTGAGGCCCGAGTTGCCCTCGCTCTCGGCCTCGCGGATGTCGCAGCTGAATAGTCCCTATTATGTGCGCTCCTCGATGTCCTCTGCGGACGCGGAGACGCACAAGGCAGATCACTCCTCGCGGATGTGTTGCGTGTGTGTTGAATCACCAGCATTGGCCACTCCAAGAGTGCCATATCTCTTGAACACACCTGGCCTAAGAAGAGCTATGAGAAACCCATTGTGTTTTGTAGAGTTGCAGGTGATGGAGGATTCTTCCATCAACGACAGTAGGCTTCGAAAGCAACAGGATTCCCGAGCAGTTTTGGAGTGGGGGACGGGGGGTTAGAAGTGAATCTTCACAACATGTTGCAGGAGTGTTGCCAAATGAGAGCAGAATGGGACAACGCTTTGATTTGGGCTTCACAGCCCGGGATGGAACTTGGGCTGGGTAGTCCACTCCAGTGTGAATCTGGGCTCTTTTTCAGGGTCATGGACATGTTGGAGGACTGGTTCACCAAAGAGTGTTGAATGTCCAGTGGACTCGGAAACCTCTTGGAGTGCTTGAGAAACCTCTTGGAGTGCTGGAGAAAGTCAGCTCGGGAAGCCGTTGACAGAGTCGCCAGGTCTTCTTGAAGAGCTTTGACCCCTCAAAGCTCCGGGGGTTCTTGATACTTCAAGTGGATGCGCAATCATCAAAAGATGGCTTTGAGGGACCTCCATCTAGAAGACTTCTTTCGGTGCCAGTGCCATCGAACCTCTGAAACCACTGTACAAACTACTGTACTCCTTCAGTACTGCACCCATCATCGAGACCCCGCAAGGCCAAGCCCTCCGGCATCTCAACCATCTCCGTCCAGGCTCTAAGGGCGGGCGGGCGGCCGATTTGTTGGTTTGGGACCCTAGCAGTGCTGACTGGGCCCACCTCAGTGACCTTCTTGGGTTGCCCAAGGTGGAACCTGGTTGCTTAAGGCTTTCTTCGGTGCGACCTGGTTCGCGCGGAACCCTGAAAGAAGAGATTTCATGCAAGGCCCTTTGGCTGTTGAATCTCCCATTTGATTATGCAGATGATTGAAGTGTCCATCGTTTAGTGGGCCCTCTCGCGGTCGATGTAAGTCCGGGAAGTTGTCAAACAAATAGCAAGTTTATATATATTAAGCTACAGTATTTGAATTTGAAACTTCTTACAAACTTGTTAGTTTATAGTAGTTTGGAATAAGTTTCTAGTTACAGTACTTTGACATGGATTTGGATTTGAATTATCAAGGTTAGTCTCAAGCCTCCCAATCGCTGATCCGAACTCCGAACTTGCTGTGGGAGTTGACCCCCAGGTCGTTCGAACGCTTGTCATACACGTTCGACTGCCCGGTCACCCGAAACGCGGGGTAGGATGAATCCATCATCGTCACACCATGATCACCATCGCAAATTGGCCATAATTGGCGGCTCATCATCGACTCTCCCCACCGACTCGCGAACCCCACCTCCCTACCGTTCCCCACCGTTCTCAGGACGAGAAGAGCGACGGCTCGGAGGGCATTCCCTGTGCCCTCTTTCAGTCCGAGCCACAGGCCACCTGCGGGGGTGGAGAAAGGCGGAGAAAGGCGGTCGACCTTCGGACCGGGCTTCCAGATCCTGTGCCCGACCCGACCCTACCGGCATCACCACCACCGCATGGCTGCCATGTCCCGCCTGGCTTTCATCTTTTGGTTTCAGAATCTCCATGTGGGACTGGCTGTCCAGCGGAGCATGAAAAAACAGACACCTCAGGAACATCTTCAGACACTTCACACACCTCAGTGCCTGCACTGTCACACTCCTCAAGCGCAGTACCCCCGCGGTTTTGTTCCGTGGCAGGTGTCCGCCGAGCCGCCGCCTCACTCCCATTCTCCGATCCTGGAGTCCTGGGGGGCGGCGCGCGCGGGGAGGGGGGCGAAGACAAGGGTGGTACCGTGAGGAACGATGTACTAACATGTACTCACTCCCTGCAAGACGTGATTGACGTCGAAGACTCCTGCTACGCATGCTGCCACGCATGCTGCTGAGTGAGTCAAGAGGCTAACTTACATTGACTTCAGCTTGGCAGCTCAACAAGGGGACCTTGACTTCCCCTATATATCCATTTTTCTATATTTTTCTGGTCTATCACTTCGGTGCCCCTGCTCAACAGGAGGGTAAGGAGAGCGGCAGCCCCTCCTTGGCCAGGGCCAACTCGTGACTCGGCCCCGAACGAGCGAAGACGGCACTGCTTTCAGCGGCTCCAGCGGTGGGGAGTGACGATCAGACGATCCGGTCAACCGACCGGACCACTAGGAGTCACAGGGGCTCATTGGACCCTCAGTTCGCTAGGGCGGCCAGGTTTTGACCCGAAACCAGCCAGGGTTTGGGACCGAACCAACATGTAGCAGTTGGTTCGGGTCCAGGGTCGCCTCTGGGATCAGGTACTGTGCCCCCTTGGCACCCCACAGATGACAAGCACCCAGTTTTCCAGCGCCTTCCAACCGCTGTCTTGTTGCGAGCTATCTCACATCATCCGCCTTTCGCGGCGTCGCGAGTCTTGGAAACGACCCGGACCGCTGGGCGAGGGGGGAAATCCCTTCTCGAATCATCGGGGCGAAAGGGGTTTCGTTTTCAGAGGCATTTTGGATCGGTCTTGGGCCTTTGGAGGAGATACGGACATGCTTCCCACCTTTCGGATCGTTTGGCACCTCGCGGAGCGCCCGGCGATTTCTGGCGCCAGTGCTTCCCCGCCACATCTCGGTCTCCCTCGGTGGCGGACCGTCTACTGGGCTGCGCCGTGGGTCGTGGGGGTGGCGGAGCCTTCTCCGCGCCACCGGGCGGCACTAAGGAAGGCCCGTTTGGGATCCAAGGCCTCGATCGTCAGGCGCGGAGCCAACGAGGTCTCGGTCGGTCACCTCGGGTCCCGCGACAAGATGCGACCTGCCTCTGTTTGTGGGGCTGGCTCCGACACTAGGAGGGTGAAGATACACTTGATGTGGAGGGTTGGGCATGGTCGGGCTAGGTGGCTGGGCTCCACATGTCTCCCCACAGATTTGATAGGCCTTTGCTGGGCATTGCGGTGTCGAGGCGTTTGTTCCGAGGCCTGACAGAGGACGAGTGCAACTTCCACTGAAGCAAGTCACTACTTTCGCAGAAAACGATGCGAGCAGGTTACAGGTTCCTTCTTTTTCCCCAAACCGTAACCGTGCAAGTGTGTGTAAGCATCCATGATCTATGTATGTAGCTGCGAGTCACACTACATACCCTAGGTTAACAGGCCAAAAAGGAATCAATAGATAGGTCTACAGGGCACTTTCCTACGCGCTTTTGGTCACGTGTAAGCATTTTATAGAGAGCATATGGTTTTTGTTGTAAGCATTGCCGACAGTAACCGTCCTCATGCACTTTGACACTCACCTGATGTGCCTTAATCAAACCAACAAAACCACCACGTCTCTGGAGCGTTTTCAGCGCGGTTCAACGTGACCCGTGATGACGTCATTTCAATGGGGAGGATGCGACTTTGCGCTTCCATGTTCTTTTTTTGAACTTATGATTGACCTTACTTGCATCCCACAAATGGAAGCACGCATGGTGCTTCCACTTGATGCATTCCATCTTCACTTGTACCCAGATGTTGGTTGCATCATCTTCCACGAAACGTGGCGCCAGCAGCCGCACCTGGCTGCTGTTCGAACCCCATATGTGTTGCAGGCCAGAGCCTGGAGAAACGGATGTTCAGGACTGGCTGGGTCGTCGCTGGTGGGTTATGATGGGGAACACTATACTTGCGGACTTGGTCTGAGTCCATTCCTGTCCTAAAGGCTATTTTTTCTGTCCCCACATGCAAAGTCCCTGACCACCAGCCTACCTCTTTAGTGAAACACTGGGTGTTTGGGGAGTTGGTTGGCCTACCGTTTTTTTTGAATCAAGCTCGCTACATGGTGGACTCCTTCAGGTTTTCCATGGCCCGGCGGGGGCGTTTTCAGTCGAGCACCCCTTGAGGTCTCAGTGGAGCAGATCAGATCTGGTAGGACCTCTGCCCGCAGACTCTCAAGGTTTGTGGGGATCATCTCACTGTACCCTCTGACACCCCACATATGTGGAAGGGCTTTGACAGAGCGAACCGTCGGACGGCAAGTGAGTGTTTGTTGGGGATCACTTCTTTCCAGTCGGCTGGGACAATGCTTGGGATGAGGTGCTTGGGTGGGATGACGAATGGCAGGATTGTGATCAACGCTCGTGGCCACGGTGGCCACGGTGAAAGGAGCCAAAAAGGCCCTTTTCCAGGAAAGATGGGGCTTGGTTGGTTGGAAGAATCAACCAAGATGGGTTTGGTTTGTTGGAAAGATGGGCTTGTTGGTTTGCCCCATCTTTGTGAAAGATGGGGCACGATTCAAGTTCTGAACGTTTTGCACTCGGAGGCTTGCATGAGACCCATCACAGGAAGTACGGCACCCACTGTACCAGTGACCTTTTACAGGTCGTGAAGCTCTTTGGAGTGCCTTACTCAGTGACCTTTTTGCATGCCCTACAAGTAGTGACCGAAGCAACTGGGATATCAAGTTCGGTCACGAGTCCTGAAGAACCAGGGGTCCATTGACCGCGGTCCATTGGTCGCGTGACCGTGTCTCTTGACCTCAGAGTGGTGGAAGCACGCAGCAAGGACACCACAATGCTCGACAGCTTCATGGGCGTTGGGGTCCTCCTGACTCCCGGCCACACGTCCGCGGTCCTCCACGGTCCGCGGTCCCTTCCGTTTTTGACAGGTGCTTTGGGGGAGCAGAGGGAAGCATCCGAATCGAAGAGCGTAGCTGGCTTAGCTGGTTAGGTGGATGTACAGTCTTCGCAGCACAGATGGCCTGAAGCCGGAGGCCGCAATCATGGAAAGGATTTGTGGTGGAAAGAAAGGGGGAACCTTGCAGTTTTGGAAGTCAAATGCCTGGGGTGTACCTCCACGCTCTACGTCTTCATGTCTACAGAAGGAGACCCCCATCTCGACCTGGAAGAAGGCCTGGACAAAGACCAGGTCTTGGTCCTGTCTTGGAGGAGTTGGTCCACGTACCATCTGTATCCTGGGAGGCTACTGTACGTCCAGACCCTTGGACCGGTCCCCATCCGGGCGCCGCATGCGCCGCACCCCGCGCTGCCTGCCCATGTCTTCTGAAATAGGTCTTTGTGCGAAGGCGATGGTCCAAGGAGTTGGAGTTTGGCATCTTCTTCCGGTGAAGCCCTACCAGCTGCTTCCTTATTACCAATGGACAACCCTTCACTGCTTATAGGTCACCAGACAGGACACCCATTGGAAGCGCTAGGTATAGATGGTCAAAGATGGCAGATGGACCTGCATGGCGAAGCACCCTGAACTGCTCGCTGTCACAAGAAGCCCCTGAACTGCTCGCTGCGGAGTTCGTCCCTCACCCCACCTCTTAAGCCTGCGCTGAGGAATGCCCTCCTGATCGCCTTCGAGCTCGAGTGCGAGGGGAGCTTTGTTGGACCCTCCGTGGGGCTCGGGGGTGACCTGAACTGCGTCGGGATGCAGCCCTTCTTCTTCGTTCGGCGGCTCAGGTGTCCGGTCGGACACGGTGGGGTGCAGAGGGTCCTCGTGTAGCCTGGTGGTTTGGATGGATGCCCAGGGAGCTCGTATGTGTGTTGCTTGCTTCGCACGGTTGGCGAGACAGACCGTGGTTGTTTCGTGATCGACTCGAAAACCGAAACCTAACCCCACCCCCAAACTGAGAGGTTCTGCGATGATTCACATCAACTGGACCTTCTCCGATGTTCGGTTCGTCGTCTTCAGACGTGGAGAGGTGCCGCTTGCCCCGAGAGGTGCCACTCTCGGTGCCGCGAGCACACGGCCCTCCCCTTAAGGTCGCCGAGCATCTCTTCACGGGGCTTTTCTTATTGGAGCTTTGCTACAGGCTTCGGCTTTTCAGGAGACATGGCAGGATGACACGGATGACAGGGCAGGAGAGGATGCCACGTGGGACGAAGTAGTTGGGGTTTGAAAGCGAGTTGTAGGGTATTATATGGTATTATCATCGGTCCCGAAGGTGCCTGAGCTCGAAAATGGAGAGGACTTTGGAAGATGCACCCTCGATGTATGTCAAAGATGGGGTTTGCTTTTGCTGTTGTGCAATGGGTTCAATGCAGTCGAACGGCTTTTCAGACCCTTCACAAGCTGGTGCCCCTCGTCGAACGGCCTTTTCCGCAGGGCGTTCGATGCATTTGACCTCTCAGACCCCCATGGGCCCCAGGGCACGAAAGAACCAAACGGCTGTCCGTCGCATTCGTTTCGCTTCCGAGCTTCCCATCTCAGAATGGGCTACTTCGCGGACCTCTTCAACCTCTTTGACACCCTTCTTGTTCCTTGCCATGAAGCCGCCAGCGCATGAATTGCGCTATTGTGCAGGCGTTTCCGCGAGCGCAAGCTGGAAGTCAAGGCCTTCGTCCACACGCGCCGGGATTGGGTTGGACGAAATGATCAAGCGCAAGCCAGGCCCACTTCAGTGGGAGTTTGTTGTTCTCAGGGTGACATAGGACCTAGGATAACCCTGCTGCGCCCCCAGCTGGTGCCAAAGGTCTTAAGATCCAAGGGCCAAGAATCCAATTGCAACGCCCGAGCAGGCCAGAAGGAAGCCAGATCAAGCAGTGGCAACAAGACACTCCAAGTGAGTCTCCAATATCGCAACCCCCTTACCTTGGGTTTTGGAGGGTGATGAAAAACAGTTAAATGTCGCATATGATTTTTGTTTTAAAATCATTATAGCTATTGGGGTTCTTACTTAAAGTTTAGGAAAAGGTGTCTGTGTGCGCTTTGGGGCCTGGGTGCTCGTGCCGCTGCAGGGTGCCGCTGCCAGATGTCACAGCCGTTTGGAGTGTGGGTGCTGGTGCCGCTGCAGGGTGCCGCTGCCAGTTGTGCACGGCTGCGTGCGCTTTTGCCGATGCCCAGTGCGTGGTTTAGTTTTGCTATCTGGGGTCTGTGCTGGCATAATTTAATGTCCCCCTCACAGAATGATAGGCAGTGATCTTCCAAGAGATTGTAGTAAAGTCGCCGTGGTTTAACCTCTGCAATGGTTCTCATGGCCAAACCCCGCCCAGATTTTGGCCTGTTGTGTGGACCTCTACATCCTCCGGACCGTCCTGGGAGAGCAGACGCCTCTCCGAGTCTTGCGGATGTTCAAGCTGGCCGCTCGGCGGCTTTTCGATGGGCGTTTTGTTTTAGAAGCCAGATGGGGGTGGGTCAGTGTCAGCGGCTGAAACCACCGGGGAGGGTTTAGACCCACCAGACCTTGCAATGACTCGGAGCACGGTGGCCGAATCCAGCTCTCAAGGCGCGAGTGGCCCGGCTGGTGCGCTTGATGCAGCTCTTTCGAGGCGAGAACGGCGGACCCCCCCCAAGGCGATGATTGGAAGAGATGGGATTCATGATGGTGCAAGACTTGGATGAACAAAGGTAGGGGAACAGGGGTGAAAGAGATGAAAGCAACACCAAGCAGACACTCCATGGGACTGCGGACTGCTGAGAGCCAGGGGTGCCAGGGTGGTGCAGTCCCAGACGGGTCGTGTCTGGGTCTCACCGTTTGAGACCCTCTAAGAGATCTAAGTGGTGAACCCACCGATCGAATTGGGTCGCAGGTCTCATCAGGTCTCGCCGAAATCTCCCAGGTTTGCGGCTCCTGGTCTCAGCATGCAGGAGTTTTCTGCCCTCTCTGGGCTGGGCGATGGCGTTGCTGTCCTTGTGTATGACACTTCGATGGAGAAGGGCGGGGTGCACGGCCCGTGCGCGGCGGGGGGCGGCCAGGGAGACCCGCTGCCGTGTTTGGGTATCCAAGCCCCGTTGACTGCATGCTACATGCTACTTGTGTGACTCTTGAGCACTCCAAGTCCTGCAGGTCCAGGACACCATTTCTGGGGGAACCAGTGTTTGGAGTGAGGACTGTCGATCATTACCGCAACTCCTTTCCAGCCTCCAGCAGCAAGTGCTTGAAGCAAACTTCTCAACTTCTCAGCCACATACTGCACTGCTGCACATTCATTCAGAAGCCAAATCTTCCTCACGACGCATGACTCATCAAGTTGGAATGTTCTTTGCTGAAAGGCTGATCAAAGGCCTCTTGCTACGCAGGTGGAACATGTGTAGTTCACCACTGGCGATGGGTTTGGCAGCTCAGCCAGCTCCGCCCCTGTTGTGGCGGCTAAGGCTGATGGGTGGGGTGACCATGGGATTGCTGCGCCTTGGAGTGAGGGGAGGGGAAAGCGAGGGAGTGGGCGAGGGGAGGATGGGATTGCTGCGACCCACCACGCGACCTAGTGACCTATATAGTGACCTATAGTGACCGGTCGTGGTCAAAAAAACCCAAACCCAAACCATAGTGGGTGAACCCCAACACCAGCGACCGACTCAGCTAGACCATTCTGTTGCATTGTGAGTGGAGGCAATCTGGGCTTCTCAGGGCTTTTTGAGGACTGCCGTGTCTCAAAAACTTTCGGCAACTCTGTATGAGTGTGTGTGTGTCTCAAACCCAGTTTCTAAGAGATCCCTTTAGTACAGATACAGCAAGGGGGGTCCACTGCACCAACGTAGGCACGCTCCGATGTGTGTGCTGCATACCCGCTCGAATTTCTCACTTGATGGTCCTGTCTGAGCTCAAAGGCTGTCTCAGACGTTTCTGCCGCACGCGGCCCACGCACCGGACCGGGCACGGCTGCAGTTCGTCGAAGTCCACGGGCGCGGCTTCCCGCCCGTGGCGCTGTTTGGGCCGAACGAGCGGCCGCCCAAACCGACCGCGTTGCGTTCTCAACGCCACGTGCGACCCACCAGGCGTGTGGAGATCCCGCTGAAGGGCCGCCCGACCGCCCCACCGAAGGGCCGCCTTCTCCAGGTGTCGAGGTCCGTCTCCGTCCGCGCCGTGGCGCTCGTGGCGCTGCCGAGGCTTCAGGACTTCATCCGTGATGAGGCGCAGGACTTGCACCTGCGCCAGTGGATGTGGCTGCGCTATGGCACCGCCTACCGGGCCACCTATACCATGCACCACGGAATTGGTCTTTCCGGATCCAGTCGTACCTGATCAGAAGGTACTTGGGCCCTCCAAACCTATCATAACTATCATATACTGTAGCAGTCTCCAATCGCCTTCTGAGAAGGTACGACTGGATCTCTATAGGGTTGGTTTTTGCCTGGGCATTTGGGTGGACGGTGAAGAGCGAGCGAACGGAATTCTGCTGTGTGCACCGGACGGACCGAATAGAAGCGCCGAGACACAGAGAAACATTACCAATCAATGTAAAGACATCCAAGAGACAAGTGAGTTGCATTGTTTCCTGAAGCACAGCGCTACATGTTAGGGGGAACTCTTGTCATGGCTAAGTGTCAGTCTTCCTGGACAAAAATGGAACCCCACCGTTCCAAGGCATGGCCACAGGTGACCAGCTCATCCATCCTGATTCCTGCATTTACCACCGCCCCTCCAAAAAAGATCACGTTGTTCACACCCAATTGTTTAGACTCACACATCCTTGTCTTGCAGATACCACTGGTGGAGAGTGGATTCTTGAATGGCGAGGATTGCACAGTGAAACATCCATCTCAGAACTGGAGCGAACAAAGGGCTAACTACGCCCCGAATTTGGCTCAACTGGAGAAAGGGGCGTCCCGCAGGGCTGAGACCGCAAACGCGGTTATCAGCCGTAGGCTGGGCTGCCCGTTGCCGTTGCCATAGCTGCTGCGGCGTTGCTTGAGTGAAAGCCTCTTGGAACAGCTGGCTCTCCTGTACTGCTTGTGTCTTTGCGCTCTCTCTTCTTCAGACCCTTGCTGCACTTGCTTGCACATAAGCGGGTCCTCTGCGCCCGCGCGGGTTCTGCATGCAAAGGGGCGAACGGGGTAGGAAGAAGGCAAGGAAACAAAAGGAGCTTCGTGAAAGGTACGAACGTGGTGAGTTTGCCCCTCTCGCAGAGCAGGAACTGAAGAGGGAGTCCGCAGAAGTAGGATCTAGTAAGCCTTCAGCGTCGTGTCAGGACTCAGAGTTGGGTGTGGGTTCAGTGCTTAGCGGTTCTCCTGAGGCTCCAAGAGCTGACCCACCAAGACCACAAGTCGCGCTGTTGACTGCAGAGGAAACTCACACTGAGGCCCTGTTGTGACTGAGGTGCTGTTTAAGACATCACCTAAAGAAGCTGTCAGTTTGTCCGCTCCTGTCACTAACTTGCACCCGAGGGATCAACCTGAAGTAAAGGCCACTTCCCTGGCTGCACCTGGTAAAGGTTTGGAGTTGCGTGTTTCCTTAGACTATCACGGGGTTTTAGACTGTGACATAGCTAAGGGTCCCTCCGCCAAAGGCATCACCACTTCCAATAGAGACGCCATTTGCACTTTCTTAGCGACATCTTATTACAACCGCGTTGGGGTTTGTTCATACATCGGGCGGTTCGGTCAACAGAGCCAGCAGTGTAGGCAGAGCCTTGAGTTTGAGATTCGTTATTTGAATAATGACTCGAGGGGCCAAGGCATCCCTGAGAGTCGTTTGGTGAAGTTGCGCATTACATCCCAACCATCAAAACCAGAAGTGCAAAAGGATTGTTGCAGTGTTCACGTTGACTTCAAGATCAGCGTGCTGCAGGCTTGTCAGGAAAAGCAGGTAGTGCCAGTGTTGTTCACGACTCGCGCCAGTGACCAGTTCACTACAGCTCTACTTTGTCAGATGCGCTTTTGAGGGTGAGGTGTCCTGGTGCCTATTCGGTGGAGTTCTATCAGCGAGCCTAAGTCCTAAGTAGCAATTCCTGGCCTCATCAGGGAGTCAACCAAGTTCATTGAACATTTCGTCATCGTCAGCTGGTGAGGTACCAGGGAACCCAGGGGTAATTGTTTCAAGGGCTGCTTCCCGTTCTTCATCTGACACTTGTAGGGGGCGGGGCAGGGGACCATCTTCCGCGCTTGCACGGGTTGGTTCAGTGCGACCCAGAAGTATAATGAAGCGGCGCTCCATCCGCGATATTTCTGCACGGGGTAGAGCCTCCACACCCCCAAGAAGGAACGCCAGTGAGGAGAGAAGTCTTTCCGACATGCAGGCGGTGAAGCGCATGATGCGCCAATGGCAGCGACCTCAGAGTTTCAAGAGGAACTCGGCTTTGATCGGGCGCCAACGGTGATCGACGCTCGGGCTATGCATGTTCAGTACAATGCTGACCGCAGTCAGGTTTTCTCCGAGACCCGCGCATCGTAGCCGAGGCCTCGCAAGCAGTAGCGGCCGCTGGGACAGAGGCACACCAGCAATCAATGGAGGCGCGGCGAGCCACTGTAGAAATAGCGCGTCAGGCTCAAAGGTACACATCAGAGCTCACAAATGAGGGGCCCTTCTCGCCAACACAGTGCGCATTCAATATGGTCGATTACTGCCAACAGGCTATATAGATCTGTACGTTGAGGCTGTGGGGGGTTCTGGGAAGGTCCAATCTCGCAAGGTTTCTACCTCTACGTTGCAGACACCCTTTTAACACAAGAGGACTATGAAGTTGAAGGCCAACTCTCTCACAAGGCACCAAGCGTTCTTATGAAACTTTTGTGGATGACAAGGCTGGCGCGGCCAGATTTGGCCTCTGCCGTGGGGTCGCTGGCCACGCAAGTCGCCAGGTGGAGTACGAACAGTGACAAGCAACTCTTCGGTTTGGTGAGCTAGCTTCATTCTACCCAAGGGCTCTGTTTGGTGTCAAAGGTTCACGATTCTCCACAGTCATCAACTTTGGACCTTTTTGTGGACGTGGATCTCGGCGGGTGCCCCTTCACTTCAAAAAGCACTTCCGGGTTGTTTTTGGTGGTGAGAGGACCCCGGGGCACGTTTGCGCCCATAGCGTGGGGTTCTAGGAGGCAGCAGCATGTAGCGAGTAGCGCGGCCGATGCAGAGTTCAACTCATAACTCATTAAGTGAAGGTCTCCACGAGGAGTTGCTTCCTGCTGTTATACTACTTGAGAAACTCCTAACACCGGAACTTTCTCCTAAGCCGATAGCGCGCGAGGACAATTCCGCCGCGGTTCAAGCAATCAAAAAGGGGTATAGCATCAAACTTCGCCACCTTGCGCGTACACCGCGGCTGGCGTTGGCATCCTTGCATGAGGCATTCACATCTTGGTGTCAACTAAGGCAGACACTGACTAAGGATCAGCTTGGCGACTTGTTCACCAAATCCTGAGCGCCAGGCAAATTTGCCCCACAGGACATTGGTCTTGAGCTGTGGAAGACGGTTCCAGGGTAAGGGTAGGTTTGGGGCGGTTGCAGAGCGCTTCCGCTGCTGCGCGGCTTCACGACACTGCTGATGCCGCCTCTACTCCTCTTCCTGAGTGAAACTGCTTTCACCTTTTGCATGAATCTCCGGCTGCAGAGCTTGACTTTTCACACACGTTGGGTGACCTTCAGGTAAATGCTCAGAGCCGTGAAATGGCGGCTTGCGCACCCCTGGCCGGGGGGGGGTGTGCGAGCACGCGTGTGATTAGACGGCAGAGAAGCTTTACCTGCGGGGGGACGTTGTTCACACCCAATTGTTTAGACTCACACATCCTTGTCTTGCAGATACCGCTGGTGGAGAGTGGATGCTAACTACGCCGCGAATTTGGCTCAAGTGGAGAAAGGTGCGTCCCGCAGGGCTGAGACCGCAAACGCAGATCAAACAAGACCTCTTTCTTTAGCGGTGGGAGATCTTCAATGAGGTTATTTGATGACTCATGACTTTTTATCGCTCGTGCTTTGCTTTGCTTGCCACTCAGCACTTGCACATTGCACAGCACCTAAGAATTCTTAGCATGTCGTCTTCGGGGCGCTTCATGAACAGTGCGGCGACGGATGTGTTTTTCCCAATAAACTCGTCATATCTCAACGTCTCCTGGCCAAACTTTCTTCGACAGGGACTTGTAACCTGGAATGGAAGCAGCCACAACACTGCATTAGCCCAGTAGTGTTGACCCCCCAACCTGGGCTCCTGATAGGTGTTTGCCGAATGTGGGGATGTGGGATCCAGCATGCTGGATGTTCGCGGCGCATTTCGCGGTGCGCACCCAGTGAGGTATGAGATAACTTTTGCAGGACCGACTGGGATCAGCGAGTGGGATCTTTTAAAGGATTTAACTGATTCTTTGAAGGACGTGAAGTGGTCATGTTGGGTGGTTGTGTTTTTCCCTGCGTTGTTTGCACATCTCTTGATGTTGCCCCTTGCCAAAGTCGCAGTCTTTCCATGTTGTTCTTTCCTTTGTGTTGGCTTCCTGCGCCAGGAAATTGGCCACAGAATGTGCGGCCTGTTCCATGGATGCACAGCTGGCTGACGGTTGGTGAGTTCGCCTCCATGGCCTCATCAATCCCCAGAGGCTCACCAAGACCGAAGTGCGTGGCCATTGGTCCCGGCAAAATGCAGGTCTCATCGGCACAGAGAGGTGTTCAACCTTTCACTCATATTTTTTCACCTTGTTTTGCTTAGGAAATTGTTTTTAGGATGATAAATGATGTTTGTTTGTTGTCCCCTAGCAGTGGCTTCCTTTCTGGGGAATCCTGGTTTTTGCTTTCATCGTTCAGGTTTCGTGAGGTGAGGTGAGGCTTCGTGCTCTCTGGCTCATTCTGGTTCCCCGCCTTTTCTGCCTTTGATCGTTCAGCTCACCCGGCTGGTGGCTGTTGTTGGTCGCCCCACCCAGAATTCAACACCAAAAGTACCACACATTCAACCGAGGTGTTGGACGATGTGAGCCACGCATTCAACCTCTTTTTCGTGACCTATATCACGATCGTGGTTTTTGCTGCTCGGGGGCCTAGTGTTTGCTCAGCGCTTCTTAGGATGAAATGGGCATGGAGCTTCAACAAAAGCAGAAGGGTCCAGCATTGAGCCGATGTATGGTCCATTTTGTAGTCCTTCACTGTGACGAGATGTGCCATTGTTTGCCCCTACCAGGAGACCAAGCTGGATGTGCCTTAGGTCGATACCTTTCAATAGCAAAAAAAGGTGGACATCCTGGGGTGTCCTTTGGGGGTTCCATGCGTATTAGACATAGCTTTGGTACTAACACGCGCTCGCTGACATGCTCAAGCTGTTTTGACTCACGATGAGGTCATCAGTCACCAGGTGGAAGAGAAATTCTTTCACGACATTTCGGTGGGAACGAACCACTTGCTCTCCCTCAGCGACACCAGCAGAGTGCACCCTCTCCATCAGACCAGACAGTGACAAGCGCATTGAGGTTCGAACTCGCGATTCTTGTTCGGGTGCATGTGGTGAGCCACATGTGGCTGGTTTTGTGGCTGGTTTGGGTCTCACCGTAGCTACTCCGGCCGCACGGTGGTCAGCTACGGGGGCGCCACATGTGCACATCCGGTTCGGAGGATCAAGGCCGCGAAGGCCGGTGGGTGCACGGTGTCATGTATCTCATGGGGCCGGGGCCTGGGAGGGGCAGGTGATGTCAGAACCATCAGGCAGCTGCTACCAGATGTGCCTAAAACTGTGGCATGGTGCCATGGTGCCTTGCCGCAAAGCTGAGGTCATCCGAGTGATTACCGCGATATTCTTGTCGCAAACCTTGGAGGCAGCGAACAATGACGTGGATTTGATGCTCGGCCAGTGGAAAGGCGCTGTGGAGCATGTTCTTGAGGCAGCCAGTCTAGAAGTATTTGCGAAGTCCTTCGTGGCGTGATGTGGCGTGATACACAGTATAGTCAGTATAGATCATTAGGTACCGCAAAGCAAGTTGTGGACTGGTTGGGTTGTACTATAGGTATATGGAGTCTTGGTCGTAAAAACCACGGGTTTGGTCGCGAAGCGCGGCCGTCCGAGCGGCCGGGCTGTGGGGCTGTGGGGCCGGGTGAGGATGATCCAAGAACGTATTCGAAAGAAGTCCATCTTCGTGGAGCAGCTGGAAGGTGCGAGGGAGAGCAGATGTGGGTGGGTCTTGAAATAGGGAGGACCTTCCAAAGACTCCCTGGAAGAAGGGAAAAACGGTTTTCGGACGATGCAGATGTGAATCTCAGTTTCGACACCTGCCCAAAGAAGTGTTTTTGGAGAGGAAGAAGGATGAAACACCCAATTCAAGGCGTGATCTTCTCCACTCCTTGGCATCTGGTGGTCCATGCTCGCCAAACTGGTTCGGGGGTGCTCACCGAGCTCGCACGTGTCGGTTGTGTCGAAGGCATCTTCCAAGCCATCGACGAAAGCGGCGATGGATTGCTTTCGGAAGACGAGATGATTCTGGCCTTCGAGTTGGGTGGACCATGGGACCACGAATGGATCCCAATAGGTCTATTTGTCTAATATTGTCTAATGTGTTACCAGGTTTTTCTTTATGGTACTGGTTCACCAGGAAAGACTTAGAGCGATCTTTGCTCCAGAAATCTGGAGGAGCCACTCGAACTGGGTCACCAGCGTGGTGCCAGCTGTAAGACGACCTCCCTGGTACGACCAGGGGGGGCTCGTCCACTTCCATGGACCGTGAGTCGGAGAGAGTTGGGGAGAGTCGGACGTTCATTTTTAAAGGTAAACGTGAAGGATGACTTAGGATATGCGGTTCCCCCTATCCACGATCCCAATGGCTTCTAGAACCGTCTCGGTGGTTGAGTTGGGCGGCGGTTTTCATTGAAAAGGGAGCACATTTCTAGAACATGTGTCTATATACATATCATTCTATATCTTATTATATCGGCCCTCTAAGTCGGCCCTTTAGATGCTAGATTTCCAATGACCCATCGCCTTTCGGCAGGACAGCCGCACGTGCATTTGGGGATGTGGGGGTCCATGCTGCCATGCTGCCTTTGGTTTATTCGCTTAGCAAAGACCTCCCGGGCATGTGGTCAGACAAGTTGCTAGACCGCGAGGCCGAGCCTTGTCCCTCAAGTTGTAATGACAAGACTCTGCCTCCAGTAGCCGATGTGTGCCCTGAAACAGGTCCAAACAAAGAACTTAGCATTCCCTCCCTCCAACAAACCAATGGCAAACAGGACCAAGCCCTATTTGATCCTATTTGATCTGAACGGATTTTTTGACGGTCTGGCCGGGCGTCCGGCTTCGTCCCCAAAAGACACCAAGGAAGGAGCTTCTCCAAGACTCCCGGGTCCAGGCGCCGCGCAAGGTTTCTTTTCTTTTTTTTTCCATTGAGCCAGCTTCAACGAGACGAGACGAGTTTCACCCGCCCAGAACGAGTTTCCAAACACCATCACCATTTTGGCCCTCATCTTGGCAACACCATCTCGGCCATCTCAGTTTCCATCCACAAGGCTTCTTTTTTGGGCCGAGAGGGTGTGTTTCTTTTCTTCGAAAGGGTGATGTGAGAGCTGCTGACCGTGTGGTGGCGGCAACGTACCAGGACCCTCCAAAAAGGGCCCAATAGAAGCCTATAGGTAGTGTGGGGTAGTCCATTGGACACCCTTTGGAGGGTCCAGGTATGTAAAAGCCCAAGTAGATGAATTTACCGTACCTGAGGTGCACACCTTTGGGGAAACAACCCTTCCGTCACCACAGATCCAAAGCTGTTTTCGAATTTATCAGTCACTCATAGGTACCGCGTTTTTTTTTTCCCCTTGAGCCATCGCCAGAGTGATAGAAAGGAAATTATGTCCAATCATATGTTGTGAGATTCGCATCCCTACCGCGTCCACTACTGTATCTACCACTCAAACCTGGGGAAGGGGGGCAGGGGGACAGGGTGGGGGACAGGGTTAAGGGCTGGGGGACAGGGCGTACAAAGCTCGCCGAGCTGGATCAAGTGCAAGAGTAGATTCTTGATTAATAGAACCCCCAGTTTGGATGCAAGCACTTGCGAGTTCGTATCGCTTCTACGCCACCCCGTGCTGTTGTAGCGGGTGTGGGTAGAGTAGCGTGAGACACTCTGAGGTGGAAAAAATCGGTTGTATGTACAAGCACAAAGGCTGGAATTGGCACAGAGAACCAAACACCCGGTTGGAGAGTCATATACCGCACGAGTGTCAAGTCACGAGCCACGGCTCAATTGGCTAGAGATCTAAATAGAGTTCGGATGTTTAATGTTGTCAAAATCCCTTTCGCGAAAGAGGGCATTTCTTAGATTCTGAAGGAAGGCCTCCCTTTGATCCGAGATTTCAGGGGGATGGCCATGCAGGTGGGGGAAAAGTAGGCATTTCAATTTCGGTATATGGCGGGTTGTGTGGCATTGTCTCAATCAAATCCTTGAGGAAACTATACGTCTGGTTCACATTAGGCAAGTCGGGTCGGCGGGAAACACCCTGAAACACCTCTTTATACTGGGGGGCTTTGATCAATCAAGAGCCTACATTAGATTGCACATGGTCTCCAGCCGAAGTCGTGGTCTCAGAGGCACTGTGCCATTGACCATGACTAAGAAGTCAAAGGTTCCATCCCTCAAAGTCAAACAAACTGCACCTGTTGAAACTTATTGCTGGGTTGTAGAGGAAAATGGTCTTCCACCGGTCAAGGTAGAAACGCTGGTTATCTCCTGACACGAGGCGTGCTGGGCATGCCGGTTGTATTGACCGTGTTTTTTCGCTACGGCTCAACCTGTCCGGCTGCTGATCTGCGGAAGCTGAAGCGCTGCGCAAGAACGGGCTTCAGGCCTACCTGGAAAGCCTGGAGGTGAACTTACCGGAAAGTGAGGCCCTCTTCCGGCTTTTGCAAAATAGTGCCCTGGCCATTCCCATCCCATCACCCGCTTCTCCAAAGCACTTGGCGTTGCAGTGGATGCCAGACTTGGTGGTTTTCGTCCACGTCCAATCAGAGCCGCAACCCCATGGTCCAAAGAAGGTCGGTATTTTCAACAACCAGGAGTCCGGAGTCACAAAGGGGTGGTGTTAAGTCCCAGAATTATCCGGTGAGTTGATCATCGGCTCCCCGGGCTCCTCCAAGCTCGGCACCGGCACCTTTTCGGCGTGTGGTAACACTAGGGGTCCCTACTAGGGTGACTGTTGAGGACGTGCTGCCATTCCGCCCGGCAAATTCTGTTTCCACAGCCGGAAAGGCTTTAGTGTAAGCACCAACTATTTATTTACCCACAAACCGCAAAAAAAATCCTCCTGGCAGAGAGCCCGTGGACACACGCCTGAATGCCCAACCCCAAATCTCTATCCATGCCCCTGCGCCCAGATTTCCGTAATTGCACTCTACAGCCCAAACTGCACGTCACGATAGAACAAATCCGAGGCAGGAAGTGTCATACAGCGGAACAAATCTGAGGCAAGAAGGCTTGTTTTTCTGCATTCCTTTTTAAGAATCTATACGGGCACCTGTCACTGGCACATCCAGGGCGGTGAGGTGGGGTGAGAACGCGACCAAATCGCAGCCACGCGTCTTCGGTGCGCTAGACGCTTCGCTGCCGCGTGTCTTCGGTCGTGCCGCGGCAGTTTCTTTGTTCCTTTTCCGGACCAGACGCGTCGCTGGCCGCGCCGAATCGACAAGCTGTTCCCTTGTTGGAGCTTCGACTTCGACCTTTGTTCTCGGGAAACCCGTTCACTTTGGATCAATACATTGAAGATCATTGAAGTTTTGAGTCGTCAAGGCCAGGACAGTGTGATCGATTTCGTTGCACAGACCGTGTTGTTATCAGACCGCTCCTGGGTGAATTGGTCCAGGGCCGCCTCACTTTAGAGAACAAGGGGCGCAATAATGGCGGAATAAGCTTCGCATGGCTGGAACGCAGCAGCTGGACAGACTTGCGCAGCATGCAAAGAAGTCCAGAAACCGCACACCAAAACTCTTTTGAAGGATTTCCCAATCGAGGTTTGTGGAACAGACATGAACAGACTCGACTCTACCAGTTTGTTTGGCGACAAACCGGAGTGTGAGCAGGAGAAGAACAAAAAGATGCTCCATGTTGAACGATTGCATATAATATAAGATAACGTGTTCACCGTTATTTCCATGAAAGCGCCTCAAAAACAATGAGCACGTTAACGACGATGTCCGAGTCCCCCAGGTCCGTGTTGGTGCTCGGGTTAATTTGTCTCGAGCAAGAACTTCTGCCAGATGAGGTGTGCCCTTTGAGGACACCTTGATTGGGCTATATACCTTTCTGTATGTATGTTGTTGTTTATCATAGGTGAGAATTCAACCAAACCGCAAGGGCACACTATTGATTCTGTCTGCTAAAGTCGTTGCGGTTTCATGTCTTTGGCTTCACTGCACTGTGATTGGGCTTTTCAACAGTTGTTGCGAAACGGTGTCCCCAAGCATGTTTTGTGTCTAGGAGTGTAGACGTTTGTTGTTTGGTCATTTCATTCTGTGTATTTGCCATTTCTTGGTGGCTGGTGCTTGGAGCACGACTAGCTTCAAGTTGCGCTTCCCAACCAATGTTGGGACAGAACGGGGGGCAGGGCTCATTTGCCTCGTGCATTTGTTTCTACATACTAATGCAAAATTAGGGGGGCAGCTGTGTGGAGTGTATTGGGCCAAGAGTGAGAGCAAGTGGCTGCTTGCCTATTGCTTTAGTGTGTGGTGGCCGCTGCCGCTGCACTGCTGTTGCTGCCCTTGCTGCCCTTGCTGCTTCTTGTCCTTCTTCTTCTTCTTTTTCTTCTTCGGCTTCTTCTTCTTCTTCCTCCTCCTCATCTTGTTGTGAGTTGCCATCTTCTTTCCCTGGGTGTAAACCTGGTCTTGTAATGGGTGCCTGTGTTTGCCCCTATCGCGGTCAAGATCTCACATCGACACCGGTGTGCCATCGGGAGAAGCCATCAAAACAGTGCAAGCTAGCAGCTAGACGAGATGGGCAACATACTTCTCGATCTGCTGGCACACTGGCTTTGGTGCGTCCACACTGCAATGTCCCCTTGTAGATGCTATTGGTTGGCTGCTGCTGCTGCTGCTGCTGCCGCTGCCTGCGCTATGAAGCCTACTCATTTGCTGCCGGTCGTTGTTGCACAAACTCTAATGAAGCTCTATCATTATGGCAGCGTCCCCTTGTAAACTTAGCTTGGAAAACATGGTTTTGGCTTGGATGGCCTGTTTGGTGAAACCCGGTGTCCCATGCGGAAGCAAATGCTGCAAGGACTTTGCCGTGACTTAGTCGTGGCATGGTGTCACAGTGTGATTTGCTTGCCACAGCTGCTTTGCAAGGACTTTCGCGTTTGCCGAAAACGGTGTGCCATGGGGATGGGGAGAGGAAAGCACAAGGAATGATAAGATAATTCTTATGTTTGAAGAGCAATTCCATGCAGTTTACCTTCGAGGTAGGAACTTAACGGTGGTACCAACATGTGAGTCAGAATCGGTGTGCCATGGGTCAAGTTCCTGTGTGATGGGGTAAGTTACCACGTCGGGTCGTACCTTGCTTTTCACCTGTGGATGGGATGGATGTTGGTGCAGGGCCAATGCTGGGCATTGGTTTTTCGTTGAACGTGTGTGTGTGTGTGAATCTGTCAAGAAAGTGGACATGACACCGTTGCCTCAAGGTCCATCCACGACTTCCCTCCATCCACGTTTTAAACCTCTATGTGCCAGACACCAAGCCCGAAACATTGGCTGAGGCGATGGGCAAATAACATATGATGATTTTATTGAAGGAATTCTGCGTTGCAAAGGGCCGGCCAGGGCCATGGACCAGTGGCTCAGCGAGACAAATCAACTGTTTGCAGAGAGGAGAAGTGAGCGACAGGACGGCTTGGCATTCTTCGTTGCGGATCATCACGTGTCACGAGGCAAGAGGTCAGGGTTTCCATTCCAGGTTAGGCCGCTCTCTAACAAGTTCATGTCGGTGTCACCACGCATGTTTCCAGTTGGTTGCCAAGGATTGTTTTGCAGGCGGAGGTCAAAGCTTTGGGCGATAGCTTGCAGAGTCTCAGCCAAGCATCCTCCGGAGCTGGTGTGGCTGGTTTGGTCGACCAAGCATGGGGGCAGTGGCAAGTCAAAAATCATCCAGGGAACTGTGTGGGTGGTTTTGGTCCTGGTCGGAGTAGCTTGGATACTCCATCACTCATCGGGTTGTTTGTCAAGCACGGCCACCCCCAGCACCCTGGCGAAAAGCTCTGGACCCAAATGTGAAACATGAACCTTTGACGCTTCAATTGAGGCGATTTTTCTCGGGCAGCGCCTTTGATAGCAAGGATTGGTTCAAATGCATGGAACATCTGGCTGAAGTACGCATTCCCCCTCCCCGCAGCTGCGCCTGGTCAATGTATATATATATATATACACCTAGAACCCAATTGACCTCTGTTTTGATAGGAAAAACCATATTTTGAGTGGTTGGTGGTGCAAAAATAGAGGTCCCTTACATTCTAGGTCTATTACGGATCATTGAGAGAATGCCGGGTCTCTATTCCTCCAGGCGTCCTGGGAACGCACGGGTTTGTTCCTTTGCACCGCGGATTTTTTCGGCACCGGAGGAAGCTACAAAAGGCCATGGAGGAAGCCAAGCTGATCCAAGCCTCGCAGCGGCAGCGTCGGAACCGCCGGCACCACACCCATCTCGCCAGCAGCTGGGATTTGGAGTCGGTGGGGGGGTGCAGAGTCGGTGCGGCAGTGGGGCTGCTTTTTTAGGCGGGGAGGGGGTGAAAAGGTGCTAGATGCTTTGGTGACAGGTGTGTTCGATGTGACGGTTTTCATGGTCTTCCACCCCGAGTGCCGGCGAAACCTGGCCCAAAGGCCTGGATATGGCTTTGAAATGTTCCAGAACCTTCGGACATGCACTGCACTTACCAACCAAGCTGAATAAAAGGGCTGGCTTTACACGAAGCCAACATTGTGAAGGGGAAGCTGTAAGATGCAGTAAGCATCATTTTTCGTGAGAAGAGGAGCAGTGCAACCACACACATCTAGCGGCTAGCCATTGGCCCCCCCGAGGCCCGTGACCGGTGCGACCGGGTTCGCGCAACACCGAATCCAATACCGATGGGTGCACCTAGACTTCCAACCACCATTCATAGGCTGAATCCCGAATCAACTAAGGATTTTCCACTACCAAAAACCCAGGTCGTTCCCATCTTTTTTTCAATGGTCGAACGGAAACCTTATAGGCGGTGGCTTCCCCACGGTCTCCTCCGATGGTTGGGTGGTTGTGACTGACTTCCCGCCAGGGGCATTTAGACTGATGAAGTAACGCCCCCCAGACATGGACCGAACCACCTCTGAAAGATGGGCTCGCGCTGAGCCGCACGGATGTTGGTGCTACTGTTTTTCAAGGAGGGCCACCTTGTCTTGGAGGTGCCCCTTGCGTAGCCTTGCGTGGATGCGAGAAACCAGGTGCTATTGAGGGGGTTTTACCAATCAAGAGCCTACATCAAGAGCAAGGTTTGATTGCCGCATCAGTGTTCCCCAAGCCTTAGAAGTCCAGATGGCCCGCCTTGCCAAGAACCCATTGAGAGTTCCCTTTTGCTTCTTCCATGGCGGGCGTGTTGTTTGCACCAGTCCACTTGCCGAAAGTCTTGTGCGGGTCGAAGGGCCGCTTGCTCTCTAGAATCTTCCATAACCAAGGTGTTCCATAAATATGGGGATGGGTCAACGCAGTGTTAGCCCCGTGGTCCATCATGTGACGCTTGACCTGTCAACCGGTAGTAATTAGGTCAACCGGTTGGTGTCCTTGGACGCATCCTTGGCTTATCAATTGGGTGTAGCTTCAGCATCTTCAGTCAAATCCGAAAACAGTTTTTGGGCCATGCATATGGTCAGCCAGAAACACCGTCTGCACCTTCACTGAGGCCAATTGGCGTGGCGCGAACGCATGTAGCTGGGAGGATGTTGGGGGGTTCATGCCAAAAATGGGCAGCTCCCAAAAGAATTGGCACATCTACACGTCTACCTTGTCGTTTCTTGAGGGTCCACCTTGCAACATCCTCGGAACAGGGGACGGACTGTATTTAAGGGTGGTGATTTACCCTATTTGCGCTTGGGTGTTTCTAGTGTGGCCATGGTGTGACCAGGCTCAAGTAGGCTCCTGGAACCTCACAAGGACCTTGGGGTGTCCATATGCTTCGTGTTTTTTGAGGAAAACATGTCCAGAGTCCACGCCGCGCTCCCCTCCATGGACCTAGCCCCTCTGGAGAGGGCTTGGCCGGATCGATGATGACCCTCAGAATAGACCACGGGGACATGAAAACACCTTCACAGAAGATGGCACAACCTCCTACGACATTTGCTACATGGGGATGAAGACGATTTACTGTAGTTTAACACTGGGAGTCAAAGACTACAAAAAAGAATGGTCTTTAGGGGAACTGATTTCGGGAACTTCCTTTACTTCAGCTGGTCAAAATATAGTCCAACTGGACTTCTAGGGATTCTACGGTGTACAAATATTTGCAGTATACCAAAGTCATTGACTTCAACAAGTGACTCCAAAACCACTGAAGAACAATTTGTCATGGCTCAACGTCTGCCGATCGGCGCCGAAGCGTCGAAAGGGGGACGGCCTCGTAGGCTACTGCAAGCCGACAAGCGGAAGGCGAAGAAGGGCTGAGTAAGGCGCCTTTGCATGCCGAAAGAGGCCATCTAAAGGTCCCTGTCCTCCAATTCCGGGTTTGGCGAAAGGTGTGCCACTGGACATTTGTTAAAGGAGCCCCCCTGGACAAATCAACATAGACTTAGACCCTGGTTTGACCCTGGTTTTGCTTCAGGAGATTTTTAAAGTTTTCCCTATGGGTAAATCCCCTTTCACATTCCTTTTCTTCCAGGTTCCTGGGAGCCGCAACTCCTGATTTTTCCTTCCCAAGATCAATGCTCAGTGGGTTCGTCTCTGAAGTTCCAAGCTGCTTGGAGTGTTCCACCACTCAGAAAGACTCCCATGGTGTCATCCGTGATGCAGCGTCCCATGGCTTTTGTCCACTTCAGGTGCACCAGCGCCGGTGCCGCGAGTCTCACCCACAACGTTGGATGATTTCAGGGCGCAGATTTGGGACCGTTCATGAGAGCTAGCCTCCGGTCTCGCCTCCGGTCTCGCCTCCGGTTTCGCCCAGCCGCGAGCCGGGCGGCGCGGCGTCCCGCCCCGGTGGAGTGGCACATCGAAGATATCGAAGGGTGGAACTTCCGTGCCACTCGGCGAAAGCACCGTTTCAAAGCTTCAGTTCCTGCAGTCATGTGAAGTCGGGGTGCTCTCCGAAGGAGGTTAGGTCGGTGCCAACTTGATCCCATCACATCCACATCACGACTTGGGGAGGACGATGAACTAACACCACCCCAACTCTAGGTGACTCCTGGAGCTCGGAGGAACCCAGCGACCTGCCATGCCTAGAGTCCTAGAGAGGTGGAAGAGGAACAGCAACAGCCCCTCTCCTCGCATGTCGCCCATCCGTACAGATCAGGGTCTTGGTCTCTCAACCTGGCGGGTCGTCCCAGTGTTGAAGTGTTGAAACGGGAGTGGTAACAGAAGAACCACTCACATGCTATTATATAGCTATACAGGCTATATATAGGCTATATGCTTTAAACATGTCTACGAAGCATGGTGACCTTGCATCCCCCTTCGCACGTGTGGTGCTTCTTCGCGTGGTGCTGGCTCGGAACTTCTCGGCGTCGTGAGAGACCGGGCACACCCCGCGCACACCCCGGGGACCCGCAGTTTCGGAGGTTAGACGGTTAGACCTCAGTTTCGGAGGTGGGGGGGCCTTCTTTCCTGCCGGCTTAGACCGCCCGCGGTGGTCAAACCGCCCGTGCTTCTCCGGAAAGAGAAAGGGCGAAACCAAAAGCGAAAAAGAAGCAATTCATGGACTAAAGAGAGAGTCTGATGAGGGTGATTGCTTGTGTTGAGAGACGAACAAACGAAGGAAGTCAAAATGACCCCTCCTCTGCTTCAACAGGTGACCTCGCTCACTCCCATCACTTGGGGAAACGCCCGGTGACGCAAAATTAGCGGTTGGAGTTTTGAACATCTGCGAATGCAGATCAGCACGACGCCCAGCCAGATGACAAAACCTCGCCACGGAGAGGCGTGGACCGGTGCGACCTGGCGCAACCACTGGGCACTCGGCACTCTTAATGGTAGGAATTGGTGCACCAGCCCAGGTGAGCTTTGATCCACCAAACCACCATAAACCACCAAAGCACAGAATGCCGCATTCAGTTCAGAGATCACCCATGAAATAAGAAGCTGACCGACCATGGATGGCTCAAGCTCGTGGCCAGCGCGGTTGAGATGTCTCTTGAGAAGCTAGTTGCAGACAGAGCCGGTTTGAAGGGCACTCTTTTCATCTCTTTTCGATTGAGTAGCTAAGATGGGCATCGATACAAGACAGAGGGCATCAGATGTTCAATCAGCCCCCGAAAGCCTTCAGAATAGCACCAAACAGAATAAGCTCAGAATGACTAGTACTCCTAGGCTCTTCCTGTCCCACTGGAGGGGGGTTGGGCCCTCTTAGGAGGTCCCCCCACCACCCGGGTGGAGTCCCAGTCCCACCGCCTGCCACTCTGCTCCAACTCGTGCCATGAGCCATTCATTTGGTCGTCCACCCGCGACCGAGCAGCCGGAGACTTCGCGCGGTGAAGCCTCGGTCACGCAGAGAGAGTGGCTCGGCGCGATGGATGCGGCTGTTGATGGAACGGATGCGGTGATATCAGTGATTATATATTTGGTGGAAGGCATTTCGAACATGTTTTGGAATCTGATGGAATGCGTGGTTTTTTTCATGTTTGAACAAGAGCGTCTTGTGAACATGCCTTGCATTGCTAATTATTGGAATCTGGATGATGGGTCCAGAATGGTGCATGGTGTGATACTTTCACACCTCAGAGCTCAGCTCTGAAAAAGGGATGATTCAATGGGTTGTTAATTTGTTTGCATAAGGGAACTAACTAGTGAGTGATATCATTTTATCTACTCATACCTACTGTGTGATCCAATCGTATCTTATCTTACAGTAATCAAATCTAGTCTACGCCAAGCGAAGCTGAGCTAAGCTAAGCTAGTTTCTTCGCCTATACACATATAGAAGCTTAAGGCAGATGTGTATTTCTTTCGCCGTCGCAATCCGTCGCACATCTTCGGGAAGAACACTCTTCCCCCAGAGCGCTGGGATGGTGTCTTCAACAGCCATCCTAGGCTGCAAATCTTC